GGCCCCCAGGCCCCTGGGCACGGGAGGGCCAGCCAGAGCTGGAAAAAACCACCCAGCTCAGGGCAGCTGCACCCCCTCCTCTCTGCCTGTGTGCAGAAGACGGCTCCCCTCCCCTGGGTTCTCTAGCCCATCGACGGGACAGGCAGGGTTCCGGTACACTGAGCGCTCGGGTGGCCAGCCAGGAGATTCAGAGACCACCCAGCTGATTAGCAGGGTGCCCCAGCCTGCAGCATGTGTGTCTCCTGGTGGTGTGCAGCCACACATATCTCGGTGCACAGAACAAAATTTATTCCACACATGGATGGAAATAATTAGAGCGGACATTGTGCATGGGGGTTGCCAGAGTACAGCAGACCCAAAATCTGTCCCATCCGGTATGTCTTTCTGACAGTGGCCTGCCCCAGATGCTTCAGAGGGACCTCACAACAGCAGGAACAGGATAATATGGCCCCCTTTGCAGGTTTCAGCCTGATCCGTAACCAAGATGGATTTAAGGCCTGGCCCAGGCTCACTGGCTCTGGTAGAAGTAGCGCCTGTGCATAGGGGGGTCAAAGGTGGTTTCACCTGGGCGGCTATTTCAGAGCAAGGCAGGATCCTGGGAAAATCTGGAGGCGTGGGAATCCGCTCAGCCGGGAAGCCAAGCGGGGAACACTGGGTACGGTGGTAAGGCCCACTTACCAGGTAGCTTGGTGGGAAGAGAGCGTAGCTAATCCTGCAGAGGTTTTCCACTGAGATCTGGATGCTGCTGTTAAAGATCTGGAAAGAGTAGAAGATAGCCGGGCAGTCCCGAGGGCATATGTCGAGCTCTCCTGTGAAGGGGGACACGGTGATCACGGCCTCCAGGTCAGAACACGGCTGTAGGTTAGTGAAGCCCCCGTCAACGTAGCGCTGGGGGGACAGCAGCGGGTTATTTATCATAGTTCAAACTCCGCAGGCGCGTCACAGCTGTCAGGACAGGTGGGCATGCGAACACTGCGGGCGTGGGTGTCTCAGGGGCTGCCTGCCAACCCCGCTGCGATGTGCTAACTAGTAGCATGTAAGATAATCCCTCGCTCTAGGCCTTTCCTCAGTAGATCGTCAACGTAGCGCTGGGGGGACAGCAGCGGGTTATTTATCATAGTTCAAACTCCGCAGGCGCGTCACAGCTGTCAGGACAGGTGGGCATGCGAACACTGCGGGCGTGGGTGTCTCAGGGGCTGCCTGCCAACCCCGCTGCGATGTGCTAACTAGTAGCATGTAAGATAATCCCTCGCTCTAGGCCTTTCCTCAGTAGATCTCGCGCTGATCAGAGTCAATCCCCCCCTCAAGCTGAGTAAATGGAGGCAGGGAAAAGGGAAGTGACTTGCCCGAGATCTCCTCGCAGGCCAGTGCCACAAGCAGAATCTCGGTCGCCTGAGTCCCAGCCACTGCGTCCTTGTCCCAGGTTGCAACGGGCCAAAGACAGCTTGTGTTCAAGGCAACCAAACGGGAGTCAGGAAATGTGGGAGCCAGTCTTGCTTCTGCCACAGATTTCCCGTGTGACCTTGGTCAGGTCATTTATCCCGCAGGTGCCTCAGTGCCTACCACCCATGGGTTGTTGTGGGACTGGAGGTATTGCCAGCTTGTAAGAGAACTTGGCAGTCCTAGCGGAGTGGAACACGCGCCCATTACGTGAATCCTTAAGGCTGGCCCCTGCTGTCTTGCATGGAAAGCCGTAGGGTGCGTTGTGCCAAGAGGGAGGAAAGGCCTGTGAGGGGTCTGGGTTCCTGCTCCCAACTTGGAGCCTGTCCTCTGCCCCAGCCTGTCCTGCTGCTGCCAGGTTCTCCCCACACAGCTATGGGCCAAGAGATGAGAGCAGCAGCCTGGAGAGACCTGCTGGCTGGGGGCCAGGGCCTGCCTGCCTGGGAGGGGCAGCC